GACAGACCAAAACCGTGACCATGCGTGGTTTCGATCTGTGCTCGCTGCTGGAGCACACTGAGCCGGCTGGCTTCGGGGCTAAGCCATCCCATAGAGGTGGTGAAGAGGGGGGAGACTGCCAGCAGGGTTGAGGAGAGCCGCATCTCTCCTCAGCTGGCCATTACTCCCTTTCCTGAAGGCAGTTGCAGCAGTGGTCAGAAATGGCCACCTCAAAGAAGAACTCGACCGGAAAAGAATGTGCAGGAGGAAGATAAGTGAAAGTCTTGGTTGACCGGGTTAAACTGCAAAAGCAACAGCGCAAGGTACCTTGGTATTTAAACTATAAAAAAATAACTGTTCCCAAAGAAGATTTTGAAGCAGCTAAGGAGAGAGAAAAGGGAAAGGATTTGGTTTGTTTTTTCTCTTCCCTTCTATATACTGACAGCTAAGAGATTTAAGAAATTGAAAAAAAATCCACTTTGACATCAATAAGCATTTAAGCTGAAAATAAAATGTCAAAGGGATAATAAAGATTTCTGGATAGTTAAAAGCTTTTAAAAGCAGGAAAGGAAAGAAAAAGAATAAAATGGCAGGATCTGGAAAAATGGCGGAGACTGCCTGGAACCTCAACAAGATTCTTAAAAGATACATTTTAACTGAAACTTGGCAACAAAATAGTAGAACCCCAGGAAAAGAAAGTTGAAAAAAGAAGCAAGAAGAAACAGATTTCAACAGATTTCAGAGGATGCCATTACCACCATACAAGCATCTAGACGGTCCTCAACAAATTGTATATACGAGGCCATGTGGTCCTCTTTCTGTTGCTGATGCCGGGGGTCTAAGATCAACCCAACCGCCCCATCAATAGGACAATTATTGGACTTTTTACAGGAGGGGTTGACCAAGGGCCTGTCTCCAAATACTTTACGCAGGCAGGTGGCGGCCTTAGCCTCAGTGATATCCTGGGGTGACCTTCGTTCCACAGTGCACCATCCACATGTCCGCAGCTTTCTTAAGGGTGCTGCAAACTTACGACCTCCTCTAATTCACTGCTATCCCACTTGGGAGCTCAACAAGGTGTTAACTGCACTTACAACTGGCCCGTCTGAGCCTTTAAGAACCGCTGGTCTCAAATTCCTGACATATAAGGTGGTCTTCTTAATTGCGATCACATCAGCAAGGAGGATTTCCAAATTGGCAGCATTGTCAATGAGAAAGGACCTGTGCGTGTTTCATGTGGACAGAGTGGTTCTCAGATTGGATCCATCGTTCACCCCTAAGGTAAATTCGGTCTTCCATAGAGCGCAGGAGTTGGTGCTTCCAAATTTTTGTCCAAAACCATCTCATAGACTGGAGCATCAATGGCATCGACTTGACGTTCAAAGGGCATTAAGCATCTCTCTAGACCGCACGGCGGCATTTCGAAAATCTGAGGCCTTCATCCCATCCACTTTAGGACACAAGGTGTCATTGACGATCATTGGTAGATGGTTGAGAGCCACCATAGCTAAAAGTTACGAATGCCAGTCCATCTCAGTTCCTAAGGGCATTACAGCCCACTCAACAAGGAGTGAGGCAACATCAGCAGCATGGGCCACACGGGCTTCCATAGATGAAATTTGCAGAGTGGCAACTTGGGCTTCACAAATTGCCCTTTGTCAGAAATTATAAAATTGATGTCTATACCTCAGCGGATGCTTCATTTGGCAGAAGAGTCCTGCAGAGGGTCCACAGAGTTTAGGAGTGGATTTCTATACAGACGGAGTCCCTCCCTAAGGACAGGCCAAGCTTTGGTATGTCCCACTTCTGGATGCTCTGAACAGCTCATGGGAGAAAGGACGTTGGTACTTAACTGATACGCCCGTTCTCTGTGAGCTGTGAAGAGCATCCAGCCCCACCCATTTCTTTCCGTCTGGTGGGGTTCCGTTCCGGTCAGGGATCTAGATTAGGTGATGAGTTCTGGACTTTGGCACTCAGTCTTCTCAAAATTGGGGGACGCTGGGGAGGTGTCCCGTGGAGGAGGAGGAGCGTCCCGGAGTTTTAAGCCCAGCCTTTCCAGAAGAGACTGAAGCACTTCTGGATATTCTTCACAGCTCACAGAGAACGGGCGTATCAGGTAGGTACCAACGCCCTTTCCCTCCAGAAAATCCATGGAGAACACCTGATTTTTTTGAAAATATTGTGGTGATCATGTTTAAGTTATCATGTTCCATCCAAAAAGTACTGAATTATTCTAATTCAAGGAGCATTTTTAAAGTATTCTAGTATCCTGTGCAATATTTATCATGAAATAGTTCCATAAATGCTTTATAGAGAAGTTTCCCTTAAATGAATTTACAATGAGATTCTTAAATTTTATCATTACAAATTGGTATTTCTGATTTAGAGGTAAAATTTCCTATTACTAAACTATTTCCAATAACTTGTTCCTGTTTTCGGCAAAAATAAAAAGTTTCATTGTTCTATACTTGGCTATTGAATCTATAATTCTTCAGAGAATACAATAAGAATAAACCCTATCGATTACAGGAATGCTTTTGAATAAAGAGTAATTGAATTCTATTGTTAAGATAAAATGCACAAAAATAGAATAAAAGGAATGAAATAATAACAATGCATGTTAAGATACAGAATAGCATTAAACCTAAAAGCAATAACAGTTCTGGATAAGGAAATTATCCAAAATATTTTTTCTCTATCAGTTTGGTTCAATTTCCTGTTGTCTCCAGAAATTCGCAAGCAGCATTTTAGAGAAACATTGAACATAGTGTTGCTACTTTAATAATATTATATAATAGCTTTCACTGTATAATTTGGTCTTTAGCATTCAGCAGCCTGCCTTCAATAGATTTGGGATGGGAGGAACAGAGGAACGTTCCAACGGGGCTTTTTCTATAGCAGTGGTTCTGTCACCATTAGAAGGTTTTTCTATGAATGAAGGCAAATTATATGTGTCCCAGGATAATGTTATAAAAATCCAATCTAGGTCGATCATTGGGACCAGAAGGTTTTTTTTATGTTTCAGAAACTTTAGAAGACTGATCCACTGACATCCCATTGGTAGACAGGCTCCTAGGATAGTCATAATGTGACTCTGAAGCACATTTGGCGAAAACAAATTTACAGTATTCAAGTTGACTTTTTTTAGAGCCATTTTGATGTCGTGTTTAATATTCTGACCTAGAAACCCAGAGACAGTGAGTTCTAGTCCTGCCTTAGGCATGAAAGCTGATTGGGTAACCTTGGCCAATCATCTCTCTACCTGACTCACTTTATAGGATTGTTGTTATGGAAAAAATAAGAGGAAGAAGGAGTATTATATATGCTTGCTGCCTTAAGTTATTTATTAAAAAAATAATACAAGCGGGATAAAAGTCTAATAAATAAGTATTCCCATACCTTTTTACATTGTGCAATTATACAATGCAAAACACTGAAAGACAGATTACAGGTGGCAAATATATTCTTTTGACCTTTTCAATTCAGTAAAGCATTTTAGGATAGATATAATTTAAGAATTTATGCATAGTTACACTTTCAGGACATTCTAAAATAATTTCCTGAGTTCATGTATCTGCCTACAGTACACTGAAATGACTTCCTTAAGTAGCTATGTGACCTGTAGGAAGCTAATCATAAGTGTTGTAGGGAATTTGCAAAATGGAGCTTAGGAGCTTTGTTAGCTAATACATTGGACAATAATTCCATTTGTCTAAATCAGATATAGTGCTTGTCATACATATTTTAAAATTGTGCGTACAGAGAAATTAACAGTTGCTTCCATCTTCTGGTTCTTTCCTTGTTTTAGATACTAGTTAATACAACTGCAGGTTTTTCTAGTTCTTCCAGGGAAGCTAATTGTCACAACAGTGTTATAGTTTCACATTCTAGACATGATAGTTATTATCTGATTATTATACTATACTATGGAACTTAAATGCACTTAATAATTTCTGAATCTTTTTCAGAAGAACAGTATTGTTGAGATACAATACTTTTAGTGTACACATATACAATACTGATATGTGTACTTTGTTGTCTTCTCTATTAAGATATATTTTACTATTTCCTGAGGACAGGGCAAAAATGGCTATTACCATTGCTGCATTTGTGTTAACTATTATTGTGTGTTAATGAATACATGTAAAGTAAAATATTACAGTTTCTTTGGAACAAGAAAAGGCTGAATAAAGCTTTTTGTTAAAAACAAACAAACCCTGAATTATAGTAGAATGCAAAATGTTCAGAAAAAATTGTTATAAGAGTTAAAATTGTTAAATTGAAACAAAACCAAAAAGAACCCACCATGGCTTATGCAGGAGCTGGAAGAAAATTGTAAGTAGAACATTAGATTCAGTCAGTTTAAAGTGAACTAATTTAAAGTAAACTTAAATGGAAAATGCTGCCCTGTAAAATATATTTATGCTTTCAAAAAGCCTTGGTATGCCATAATGGAATAGCACTGTATCTGTATAAAGTATCTGTATAAAGTACTCAAGGACAGATTTTAATTTGATTGCAATCAAGAAGAATTAAAAGCTCAGCTGGATTAATTGCTTTTTTTTCCTCTTCCAGGCATTTTTAATGAGACCAGTCTTGGGAGTAGATAACTAAGGCATTCCGTGTATTATTACATCCTAATCATGAAGATGAAGTTCTCCGTCTCTAATGATTTCATAGGATAGGGTCAATCTAAACCATGAGTCACGATGGGAGAAGATTGACAGAGTAAAGAGAACAAATATGCTGTTTTGAGAAAGAAGACCCTCTCCTAGGAAAGTGTTAAAATGACATAAAAGTAGGAACTGGAGATCATAAAGGAATAATTGAAGATCCAGCGTGGTGCAGTGACTAAAGGGGATGGGATAGGAATTGGAGTAGGAGAGAATCAAATTCCGGTGTATTCCTAGCCATGGAAGTTATTGTTTCTTAGTGCAACCTATCTAACAGATTGGGGGAGAAAAAGGCCCCTGTGATGCACTTTGATATAAGCTTGATTATTTATTTTTATCCCTTTTGACTCATGGTGACTACCTGGAAAAGTCTCTGCAAATGCCTTGCTAGCATTTTCAGACGTGACTTGCCATTTCCTCCTTCCTAGGGTTGAGAGAGACCCAAGGTTACTGAGCTGATTTTATGCCTAAAGTACAGGACTGGGATAGGATGAATACAGTCCTGGATCTGATGGGTCCTCCGTAGCTTCCAATACCAATTCATTTCAAAGGTTATGACGTCCTTCTAGATTGGCAGTGACAACTGGGAGTGGGACACTATATTGCCGTGATTATTTTTCTTCTTGAAGGACCAGTTCCTGCTGATGATTGGGGAGCTCAATTCACTTAGGTGCTACATGCTTGGTCCTTTCTCCTCTGTCTAGGTATTTAAATAATACCTGGAGTCTGATAGGGACTGGATAGCAAAAAAAGAAGCTCAGGCTTAACCCTAGCAAGATAATATAGGCTGTGAATTTAAAGACCTACTGATTCTGGGGTTAGCTCATCCGTACCTTGAATGGAGCTTGCTTGCCATCAAAAAGAACCGGCTTGCAATTTGGAGGTCTTCTTGTATTCATGGCTCCTCATAGCAGATGGAAGCTGTAGCCAAGAAAGCATAATTTTTTCTAGTGTACCAAATGTGACTTTGCCTGCAGTAGAAGGTATTGGGCATTGATGGCCATCTTGTAGCTGGACTATTATTTTGACCCACATGGGGCTCTGTTTGAAGATAATCTGTTAATTTCTGATAATCTGGTGCAATATGTGTTAGTTCAGATAGTTATGGGTATACCTAAATTCACTCAGACCCACTATGGCTGTGCATTGGCTACTAAGATGCTTCTGGGTAAAATTCAAGTTATTACTTTTTAAAACCCTATATGACTAAGGGTTAGTGTTTTAGTGGTTTTTGTTGTTTCATGTATGCCATTCTAAATCACTTGTAGCTGAATATAATTGTATAATTTAGAAGAAAGGAGCAGAGTACAAGGCATAGTATCCAAGTAAGTATTTTTCCCCAGATGTGATTTTTTTCACATGCTGAAAGACTGAGCTGAGTTTGTGAATTAAAATGGGACTGTAATATTAAACAGTGTGGATGCGATCAACGAGAATCTAAAATATATTTTCCTTTTTCATGAAGCCTTTCAAAGCCAGGGTTTTGGAGGTGTATTGTCAAGTGATTTACTGTGGTAAATTTTAGAAATTAATTTCATCTTTATTTTAGCCATCATCTGCAATCTTTGTCAATGACAATGTATTCAGAAAGTGTGCTGTGAAAGAGAATACGATTCTTATCCAGCTCCATTCAGGTTAAGCTAAAGTTTTTTGTAAATGGTCCACTCCAATGCAGCATCAGATCAGTGCAGTAAATTTGGAGCAGTCTAGCTTAGTCATTAATAGACACTATACTCCAGGGCTTTCCTTATTGGAGACAGCAAACAAAGTTCAACCTGCACTGACGTTGATCAGGAGGAATTTTGTGTATGCTCAGAAGCTGACACTGTTGTGTGATGTTAGGAAAGAATCTGGATACTGCAAACGTGCTGGGGTAGAATAGAATGGAATGGAACAGAACGGAACGGAACAGAATAGAATTCAATTCTTTAGGTTTGAGAACTCTGATTAAACCCTGCAGAGTATATATGAGAAAGGCTGTTTTAAAAACAGAAAACCCAGTTCATTTAAAAAAAAATGTTTACAGTTTGGGATAGGAAAAATGGGAACAATCTTATAGGGATGGTTTCTAATAACAGAGCAGGCATGGGAGAAGAAGGGGATGCATCACCAGTAGCAGCCATGAGGTGGCACTAAGCATTCAAGTCTGAATCTTTGGGAAGTCCTTATGAAGTTAGATGAAAGGAGGAGTATAGGAGGAGCTGAATCATTGAAATTATTTTACTCTTGAGACTATATAAAGGCAGGACCTCAGTAACTAATTCATACCAGGAGCAGCTCTGTCTTTTTGGGTGTGCATTTCTCTTGGCATGGCACTTACACCTGCAAATAACCTAAGAAGCTTTGATGATGTAAGAAACAGCAAGATAAACTTCTGACATCCTGATGAAAACATACGAGATCTGAAGAGAAATAGGATCAGAACAAATAACAGGACTTGGTAAATAGCTACAATTCTTATCTACTTGCAAATTAAGTCTTTGGGGGAATACTGGGATTCTTTGAATATTACTGCTTAGACTAAGAATATAAATATATTGTCAACCTGAATGGTCTGAACAGCTTGCACTGTTCTTGATAATATTCCTGCCATGTCAAAGAAATTTGAACTCAAGTATCCATAGTCAGGCTAAAATTCTGATCAAACTGATGCATGGTGCTAAAGAGCAAGAAAAGCTATATAATACACATTTGAATAACAGTATGTTATTGGAAGGTATGAGATTTGCTGCGATGAAGCTGACATATAGCTATAAGTATCATTCTTTCATACATTGAAAGATCAAGGAAAATATTTAAACTTTTTTGCTTTATGGTTTAGTAGACAATTGAAAAGAAAATCATGTATAATTTAGAATAGTGGAGGCTGATCAATTATACAGTATTATTTGCTAATCTAGAAGTGTTAGCATATTAATATTCCTCCAGATCCATTAAAAAAACCATCAATTGAAAGTAGCTGGATGGAAGGGGGAGGAAGGAAAATTTTTTGGGGGGTGGGGATAGATGAGTGAGAGATATATTGATCACCATCATTGCCTTTGGATTCTTGTATTCCATATTCCTTTGTTCCTAGCATTAAATGAGCTCAGAAAGATATGTCTTGAAATTCCACTTCCTCTTGGTATCAAATTACTTTTGGTCCTTCTCTTTGCAGGAACTTCCACATTTCTGGAAATTGCCTTTCCAAGATTACGTTCTGACAAGCCTCTCAGACTGGAAAGACCATCTTAAAAAGGGCATAATTGCTAACAGAGATGAATTTGTCCAACCATCCCAACATGTTAGACTCTAACTTCACAGCCCTTGGGAGCAACTTCGCCACTCCCACCACCGGAACCAATCCATCAACATGTGACCAAGTGGTTATAGCAGCTGAAGTGTTTCTCATGCTTGGCATTGTTAGCCTTCTTGAAAACATTCTTGTCATCTGTGCTATATTTAAGAACAAGAACCTGCACTCTCCTATGTATTTCTTTGTATGTAGCTTAGCGGTTGCTGACATGTTGGTCAGTGTGTCAAATGCCTGGGAGACGATAACTATATATTTGCTAAACAATAGGCATCTTATTATTGAAGATGTTTTTGTACGTCACATAGATAATGTTTTTGATTCAATGATCTGCATATCTGTGGTGGCTTCCATGTGCAGTTTGCTAGCTATCGCCGTTGACAGGTACATCACCATCTTTTATGCCCTCCGTTATCATAATATCATGACTGTGAGAAGATCGGGACTCATCATTGCATGCATATGGATTTTCTGCACTGGCTGTGGAATCATCTTCATCCTTTATTATGAATCAAAGTACGTAATTATATGTCTCATCACCATGTTTTTCATCATGTTGTTCCTCATGGTTTCTCTCTACATACACATGTTTCTTTTGGCTCGTACTCATGTTAAGAGGATAGCAGCTTTGCCAGGATATAATTCTGTCCATCAAAGGACTAGCATGAAAGGAGCTATCACTTTGACAATACTACTGGGCATCTTCATTGTATGCTGGGCTCCCTTTTTCCTCCACCTCATTCTGATGATCTCCTGCCCTCAGAACCTCTACTGTGTTTGCTTCATGTCTCACTTCAATATGTACCTCATTCTCATAATGTGCAATTCAGTGATTGATCCCTTGATCTATGCTTTTCGGAGCCAGGAAATGTGGAAGACTTTTAAGGAGATCATATGCTGCTATAGCATGAACTGCGGATTGCCCAGCAAGTATTAGAAAACAGATACAGATCACTGTAAGAACTTTTAAGAAATAACACTTAGCCTAAATGCAGTTACCGCAAAAGCTCATTCGGTGGTGCTTATTTGTGAGTAAACATGCATAGGATTGTCTGTTAGTTTACAAATTAAATTATTGATTTCATATTGTTCCTTATGAACTGCTGCACTTCTAACTTGTGATCCTTGTTGACAGCCTGTGTGGGAAATGAGCATTTTTTTTCTATTTGTATTGCCATTTTTGGATGACTTTATCTTCCTTCAGCAAACATGAATATATGTGTTAATTATTTATAGAGATACAAACAGTTGTTTGGTTTGGTGGGCATATATAGTAAATTGTCTTCGTATCTCTAGCAATCCAGATAAGTCTTTTAAACAACCAACACTTAAGAATCACAAAATGTCTTTGCTGAACTCTATGTACAAATGCAATTTGCATATAATTTATAAAGAACTTAGTTCTTCATGGGAAAAGAAGCCAAAGTATAAGAAAAGCACAATAGGTAACTCAATGTAAGTACAACAATTTCATATTTGTTTAAATTTTTTAAAGACACCCAACTCTATGACTATGGGTCATATAAATGGTTTGATATTTACTGATATCTCTTATATTGTGTCCTCTTTTTCTTTGAAAAATAGCTAAGAGTAATTTGACCTTTAATATTTATAGGTGTGTCTTAACTGAACGCTGAGGGGTAAATGGGAATGAGTACTGCAGGTGATCATTGGTCTTTGGCTTGATTGTATTACACCCATTGCTGCTATATTGCTGTTTCTCCTGCATGATAGTGCAATAGTTAGAATGTGGTATCGCAGGCTAATTCAGCTCAGTGGCAGGAGTTCGATACTGACCAATTCAAGTTTGACTCAGACTTCCATCCTTCTGAGGGGGGTAAAATGAGGACCCAGATTGTTGGGGGCAATACGCTAACTCTGTAAACTGCTTAGAGAGGACTGTAAAGCACTGTGAAGCGGTATCTAAGTCCAAGTGCTATTGCTAAGTGCTATGTCATATGTCTGAGATAGACAGCATAGGACAGAATCCAGCAAAGTCCATCTTAAAGCTTCTTCATCACTTTAGCAAGGAGCATCAGATTATTTAGATGCTGCTGTTTATTTGTGGTAAATCCCTATCATTATTACTATTTTTAAAAGCAACCATTTATAAGTGTGCTAAAATAAGATGCTTTTATTTCTCATTCAACAGTCAATTTAAGCATGTTGGCCCAATGAGTACATATTGCTATCAGATATTTAAGTGTGCATTTCCTATTAATTTAAAAGTGGGTTTCTTGAGCCAGCATTTACGAAAATGAATTGATTTTCTTTGAAAATAAATACATTTTGAATATGCAAAGTGTTGAGCTTTGTCCAACTTTATGCATACACTAGAAATAGAGATAAATATGAAGTGTAGAAAGGTAAGTAAACTATATAGGGAATAAGTGCTAACATATGCAGCAAGTCTCTGGTTGCAAAGACTATAATTTTTATTGGAGATGAAGGCAAAGCCTGAATGATGCTGAGATCCAAACATGATTTATATTGTTTCCCCTAAAAACCATTTTTTTAAAAAAAGTCACATTTAGAATACCTAAGTTATTATTAAAGTGAAGCATTTTAATAGTTCTACTGATTTCAGTGATAAAATTAAACATTTTGTGATATCTGTAACAAATTTGACTGGATTTAATATTGGCTGGATTAATATTTTTAATTGCCCAAGGAAGATGATTTTAAAATCCATTTTTCTACCCACCAGCACGCATTTCACAATCAGCTTAGCTGACTAGGATGTTGCTAGATTTGCAGTTGTTCCAAGGTCAGCGTTCAGAAATAATTAATGTTTTCTTCTGAAAAATGTACAGCAAGTTCCATGGTTATATTTGGACGTCATTTCAGAAAAATGTGGATCAACAACTTGTAGAATTAATACTTACAATGAATAAGTGACAAATGTTTTTCCTTAAAAGCAATGTAGTAATTGCCAGATGTTAGCATGGTAAACGAGTCTTATCTAATAATTGTTTAGTAGGTTGTGGGAATGTGTAGAAATAGCAAGCTAATTAGGTATGGGGTAATATGACAATAAATGGTTGCCTTCACTGGACATGTTCAAATATCAGCTACACCCAATGATATATTGGTCTACGTTAGTTCTGGTTCCTATTCTGAGCAGAGCAGGGCAATACACAGTAAAGGGTCATCAAAGTCTATGATTCCACTTTCTGCTGAAAATAACACCAAGTCCTGTAGGAAATGTAATAATGTAAGATATTTTTCTGATTATAAATTTTAAAGTAACAAATTCCTTATTTCATAATTTGTATTTGAAATATTCTTTTAGTTTTAATGCGGTAAGGTAAGTTTAGAAGAAAGTTTTGCAGCTTTACTGAAGTTCTTATTGGAAACTGTTTTATTCAAATCTCCTTTCAATGAAATATTTGATTGAAAACCAAAAATATGAATGAAATGTTACCAAAAAGGTTTGCAATTTAATTGCATTCAAATGAACAAAGAAATCCAATGTTTTAAGAGAGTTCCAAATCTTGTATATACAGGGTAGATTCACTCAGATTCAGTAACTTTTTATGTACTGTATATCTCCTAATGTGTGTGTGATACTGAAATGCAATAGAAGCAGGTGAATTACTTTCTATTCATATTTTCAGCCTCGAGACCATATTGAATACTATTTTTTTCTCCCAATGGTACCCCAAGGTTGTGAATGAAATAAATTCCCATAAAAGCAGAATGATCGTACAATTTAATGTTCAGCATGGTTGGAACAATTCCAACTTAACTAGTTAGGAAAAGCTGCTATAAGTGATTCTTCAGATTCAATTTGCTTTTGAATAGTTTACTGTATCAAATTACTGACTTAATGAAGGATTTTGAATAATCTTGTTTTGTTGAAATGTAACTCTTATTGAAATGATTTCGTTATCTCAAGCCCTACCCTGAAATGGAAATTATGTACTGCTCTACAAATAAATACTTTGTGTTGCAGTAAATTTCATTATAGGATGAAGACTGAAGAATTTATTATAATATTATCTCAAGCAGGAGGCAATGTTTGAGTTGTTGTAAAAAGAAACCATGCATACTCAAAGGCTATTCAATGCGATATAGACTATGTTGTAAATTGGAATTGCTACATGGGAAATGTGAAGCTGTATAAACTTGCTGAATGTATGTTGGTTAATTTTTCTGGAATTTTACTTGAAATAAACATGCAGGCATTTGAGCCAATAATTATTGTTGGAGTGGAATTACTTATGATTTGCATTATTTTGCCTGATCTATGATGGCACCTCTTGAAATCACTAGTAAACAAGTTTTTAAAATGTCATTTTCAAATTTTAGCAAAATGTGTGTGGAGTAAAATTTCAAAATTTCTTGGTTCAATTTAAATACATGTGATAAATGGATCCATTGATTTTGGATTTCATTCCTGAATGCAAAGAAATAATCTATCAAAAATCACATAACAAATTAGAAACCAGTAAGTATAAATTGATCAAAGATTAGTTAACAATAATAATAGAACTGAAACATATGCAAATGTAGGTATTCCTGATCAAACTATATGCTTCATTGATTCCTTAAATGAATAGAACACTCCCTGCCTAAATCTTAAATGCAAAATTTTAATTGAAGATTTGAAAACAGTTTTACTATTTATGTGTACTTGCCTTCTGAACAACTTCACAATAAAAGAATGCAAATATAGAAAGCGAATCTGGGATACTTTTTTAAAGTTAGGGGTACTCCTCAGTTAATGCTGGCACCAAAATTTAAAAATGTTCTACTCTTTCAATGTTACTTTTTTTTGTCTCCAAATTTATCTTTTGTAGTTGTTGATCAATTCAATTTTTGCTTTATAAGTCTAAAGTACTTTATCCTAAAACATTTCTGGCTTATCAAAGTGATATTTGTGAGACTTAAATGATGACCTGTGATGGGGTTATTGCAAAGTTTCTTTCTGAAATTTTCCTATGTGGATTGTTGGGTATACAATCTTATCCTGTAGATCTGTGACCAGCTATCCTAATCTCAGCTAAATTTTTCAGCAGGGTGTTGGAAGAAAACTATTGATTCAGATCTAAGCAGGTTTCACCAACTCTAATGGATATTTGATAGTATAGATCAGGGATGTCAAACTGGCGGCCCGCGGACCAGCTCCATGAAGGGGAAAAATATCACGATACATCACATAATGGCAACACGACACTGCAAATTTGACTCCCGTGGTATAGATCTTGCTCTGACTTTAGCTGTTTCAAATAACTTCGGTTTTTAAGAATGCTTTATCACAACTTAAATGACTAGTTGGGGGCAATTAGACAAGTTTTAAAAAAATAACCTTTCCTTGCTGTGAGAGTTAATTAACTTCATTTTTAAATGCTCTGACAGCTGCTTAGAGGAGTCCATAGTGCTTGAAAGCAGACAGAATAATAATCACAACCTGATAGATTAGAAGGGTCAAAGAATTTGTTCACCTGTGAAATTATCTTCATCTGACTAATTATAGGCCTAACAAGTTAATTACCATTTTGGCTCTTTTTAAAACTTTACGTATGCCAAAATATCACTAAGCCAAATGGAAGCATGTTAAAACATCTACACCTATCATATTAATCATTTTCTTATCTTGAATTAATAAACAGGATACATTCACATTTGCAAAAATATGTCATGTGTAACTTTTTATCATGCAGCAGTTACATCAGCTTTTATTTACTTATATATTCATTGAAACTTAGATTTTGACCAGGGACTTCTAAATTTTTGCAGGTAATTCAAGATTCTAAGCAGAAATTAAAGACCTAAACAGAAACAGATCCTGAGTTTTGGAAATAAACTACAGATAAAGAAACCTCTGGTTAATACTCTTGTTTGAGCAAAATAATAAATTAGTAGTTTGTAGTATATTTAGCTACATCATATTGAAGGCCTAAATTCAACATACTTCAGTATTAGTGTATGGACAGTACAGTAGGGAGGACAGTACAAAAGGGAGAAGATATTGTGTTAAAATTTTACTTTTTGTCCTCTCTATTTTTACTATTGTGCCTACTCTGCCTGAAGATTGCTAAAGTGAGGCTACTTCCTTTTCTTTGTAGGTGTGTGCGCACACATACTGTTAAGTTTGAGCAATGAGAGGCTGAACCAGAGCATGACTGCAACAGTACTTTATTTTACAAATAAAGGGCTGACCGTGCTTGCCAAGCCTGGAACTGGCTCGCAGCAATCAGCAGCCAGTTGGACCCCGCAGCCTGCTTTTATAGCTGGCTGCTGGGGAGAACCAACCAATGGGAATGGGGGAATAACGCCCACACAAAGTGAGTGGACCTGAGTGAGAACTCCTTGAGTCCTCAGGACATAACACCCCTTCCCCCCAGATGCGAACACGCATAGTCCTTGAGGTAGATGGGGGGTTTGTGTTGGCGCCCGG